CTCGAGCCATCAGCCTGTTTCACATGCAGCTAACAGGTCTTGTGGCTGGCCAAATGAACTTATGAACTCTTATATCAAATTTGATTTTACTGATTTGGATCACCCAATTTGGATTTTATCAGCCCATTAAATGGCCGTTATCTGTGGTCTTTAGCCTCAGACATGGGTTAGACGGAGCCAGCCTCATCTTCTGTCAGGTTCAAAGGACGTTATCAGTCCATTAAATGACCATTATGTCCGGCGTTGTGAAATAGTTGCAGTTTTGTTGTTTTACTTCCACTTTCCTCAAGTTTAGGTGCAAAAACTACTGTTTAGGTTTAGGAAAACATCATAGTACGTCATATAACATAACTGTTTCTGTTTAAAATAAATCAAAGTTGAGTTTTGGTTTAACACAAAACACCCTGGACGCTGACGCATTGGTCTTTATAAATGCTACACCACCTGCCTTCATTCGTAGTTCCTGTCCTAATTATTAGGGTCACGAGAGGTCGCCACTCAACATGAACATAAACGACCACAGACCCTTTCATGTCTTGATAGTGGCCTGCTGAATAGTAGGTGTCGTAGGCCCCTTCGAACCAATATCTATGATGCTTATAACCACTGATAACAACCATTTAATGGTCTAGTAACAGCCAAACGTCTTCATGTCATTAAATATGTTTAATTATGGTGTCATTTCCACCTCACACTTTTGGTTTCGTACCCCTAGAACGGGTATTTAACTCGCACTGACATGTACCTAAACCTTAGATCTGTTTTCAGGGTTTCCCCACATGTTCATGGACAAAATTTCAAAACTTCTCCATGACTTTTCAGGGATCAATTTTTTCTTGCCCTACTTGCCCGGCGTTTTTCAAAGGTATCATTCACAGAGCGTTACAATGGATACTGAGTAGGTGGCACCTTGTGTGGTAGCCTCGGCCACCAGTGTGTGAATGTGTGTAAGAATGTGACTCATAGTGTAAAAAGCACTTTGAGTGGTCAGGAGACTAGAAAGGCACTATACAAGTGTGGTTACCCTTTACCATTCCCTCTAGAAATGTCATAAAATGTCCCCATATATTATCAAAAGTAGAATATTTACCCTGTATCATGAAAATAAGTTTTTCTCTGGCAACAGAAAGTGACAGTCCAGTAAGCCATAGATAGTGGATTTCCAGAATCTGGCTATGGTGTTTTTTGCTTGGCAACTTAACACCTATGACACGGGAAAGAATGTCTTAAACCTCTACCCACAAAACCTGGATATTTGGGCAGTCCCAAATGCAATGAAATAGCATGTCCTCTACACATGTCAGGGGATTTAATTTATTTAACATGGTCAGAGTTACATATATTGTCATTATCCACCTCTATTGGAGTAATTTACAATGTTTATGGATTGTGTTTGAGCTTTCAAGCAGATTGCCTGCCAGTCCTCGGCCAAGATTTCGCCACTCTATTGTTTTTTACTGTGGATTTTATGGCGTCTTTATGTCTGGAGCACTGGACCAAACACATTTCCCCGTGTGATGATAAAGTTGATGTGTTGATTCAGAGTTTTTGTTTTATATATATGCTTTAGATTGAGATCAGTCACTTGGATTTACTCTGTGGTGCGCACAGCATTAAAAAGTTACACTCAAAAAACTCAATATGACTGTCAAGACATAGTGTTCCAGTTAGAGTGGATAATCCATAAAAGCTCACTCTTAGGAAAATAAGATTAAATAAGATTCAGTTCACCTCCATTGTGCTGTGGTGGTGCAGAAGTTTCAGAGGCATCAAATTAAACCTATGTGAATGGCATATCATGCATGATAGAAGACATGTCTATAACTTTCTGTTTCACTCTAGCTGCATTTCCACCCTTGTCATAAAGACTGAGATCTATGGGTACAGCGAGGGCACCACGAGGTCATGGCACCATCATTTGTTTTCTGCCAGCGCGCTCAACTATTGATTCTGACATTGGCGCTCAAGGCAAATGTCGTCTGCATTTACCCGGATTAATTAAAAAGTCCCTCACGTCACGTTGCCTGGAGGTGTGAGCTCGCTCTGTCAATACCGGCGGAGCGTTCAAAGTTGGAGAGCATTTTGTCCGCAACAGAGTCTACAACGAGAGAACATTTCGGTGATATCTTAACTTCCATTTACCTCAGCTGTCGTCACCCAGAGGAGTCGGCGCCTGGGCTCCACTTCAACAGTCAATCCAGGACATCAATATGAATTGCCGTGTTGTTCTTGAAAAGTGTCATTGACCCAGCCATTAGTGCTATTATAGCCTCCTGCTCACGTCTAGAGAGAACTGGACGGCACAGAGCTTGTGGTTACCAAGGTGAGGGCCAATCACTGAAGCACATGCTTTGCTTATTAATCATGACGGATCTTTGTTTTTCATTTTCTCTCTCTGCGGCACACGCCCACCCTGCCCTCTCTGGAAAGAGCATGACAATTATATCTGCAATTAGAAAATACTTGTTTTCATTATCATCCCAGGTAACGCTGTTTGTAAGACTTTAAAATGGATCGTGCCTTGTGTTCCCACTTGCCCATTGTTGTAAAAACCTGCATGGTGCCTGCACAGCGGAGCACAAAACACTATATTTAGTAATCTGGTTGAGACAAAGATAAGCCTGGATGTGAAGCGCTTTTGTATGGGAACATTTAATTGTCAGCTAGATTTTTATCTACAGAGCACTGAGTGCAGTATATTGCAGAGAGCAAATAAAAGCACTTGGCCCCATAAAAGGCAAACATTTTAGCCACTTGTCATCAGCAATATTTTACACTTGAAAGGCAGATTAGACATTATCTGTGATTCTGTTTGTCTGTAGAAACTGTTTATAGCTATAAGAGAAGTCAGAGGAGACACAGTGATGATGTACTGTACAGCTGATTGAGTACCAGAGTAGCTGTCGAGTCCTGACATCACATCACCGTAAATCAGAGCAGTTTCTCATTGAGGCTTTCTTTTACTGATCTTTCTGAAAAAGTAAATGTGTACTTGGGATTTACTGTGCATATTGTAATTCTTACATAAATCAGTACCTAGTACAGACGCTGATGCTAAAATTTGAACAGCAATTAATTTGTTAGCATTTGTACAACCACAGCTCTAATATACATTATCATATATCCTTTATCCATGATATCCTCCAACTCTTTCCTTTAATGTCTTTCAAACCCTCTAGCTGCAATCTCTCCACCTTCCCTGTTCTGTCTCCGTTATTTGCCATCGTAGGTTAGTTTCACAAAAGTTTCTACTTCCATGTACGACTGGGCAATGTGGAGAAAATCAGATATTGCGATACTGTTGACAAGAAACCTTAGTATTGATATTGTGACGATATTGTAGGGATTGAGGATTCTGCAGGTCATATGTCATCCACTAAGCTTGCCCAGGTGCTTTGTGTCTCTTTGTGTCTGAGCGGCAAACCGATAAACGCCATTGTGAGCAAGCTGGTTATCGTCATGAGCATAAGCCCCCATTTAGCTGTGACTCAGATGAGTTAACTCGTTCATGAGCACACACACCCACTGAGCCAGGGAACAGGTTGAGAGCTCAGTGAGGCTCTTGTTCAGCGAGCTAACACAGTAGCTCAAAGCACACCTGCCAAGCCGACAAATTATAACCTATTCAAACTGACATAGTGAAAGGTACTTTCATGATGGATATTTTGTGTGTTTATGTGACTGTGGTGTGTGATAGAGTTGTTTTATTTACTTTTTTATTCTTATATGACTAAAACGGCTAAGAGAGCCTGTGGAATATAGCGGACTTGCCACTCGACAGCTGATTGAGCTGTTGAGATGTGTGTGAGCAGCGCACACATCGCTAGAACGGCAGTCAGGTTGCCGTGGTCACGTTGATTGATTCTGTACAACTGTTAACCACATGAACATTTTCTGTTTGAGAAAGAACATTAACCGAAAGACAGGAAGTAATACTGAATACAGTGGGGCTTTAAAACCAGGGAAAGAACACGTACAGTTTTACGATATCTGAAATCTAAGACGATATCTAGTCACATATCACGATATTGCTATAATATCGATATATTGCTCAGCTTTACTTTCAAACTGTGGTTTGGAACATCAAACCAATTCCTTTCCTGTTAATTTATGCATGTTTAACTAATCAAAACATTTGCCATACTTGTGTCTGCGCATGTGAGAGGCCCAATCTCAATCCATCAAACTAGTGCCCTTAACACTAGACAGTCTTAGGTCTGTGGATAATGGTGTTCATTCAACATCGATATTTCATTATCAGAATGCCTGTATTGGTAACCCAGTTGTCTAAAACCCATTCCATATATTTGCAGTCTTCCCAGTTTGATTACGGCTGGTGATCTTGGTCAAGGAACATGTCTTTCCCCTCTCTGCCCTGTCTGTCTCTACTGTCTTCTGCCAAAAAATCGTTGGCAGAGTATCCTCTAAAAAATTTGATGCCCGTACCATTACCTTTACCTAAAGTGATCCCGATATTTCCGCATTCATGCATTTGTTTTTAGCAGACGCCACATGCATGTAGTATAGCCATACTTTCAAATGTTTTGGTGGCATCTCGGCATGCTGCCAAGTCCTTCAATTGCCCTGCACTCGACTTCACCACACCATGGACTGTAAGGGTTGTAGCTTCTGCCATGGAGGGCCAATCAAACGTCGCATTAAATCGAAGAATGCTAGCTATGATGGGCTGCAGGCAAAACCATATATATAGCCATTTTTTCTAGATCTGGGTAGAAAAAGGATCGATCAAATGTAGGTATGGTTAGACTGAAAAAATGTCAAAGATTTTGGGTACTGGGTTATTTTCCAAGGTCATAACCTTTATGGTATTGAGTTCGGATACCCAGATCTGCTGTCTAGGCAAATGGAATGGATCACACACCATACTTGACAGTAATATTGTAGGGCACTTTCACTCTGTCGCTACCGTATCAGTTCCAGTGTTCCAGCCATCACCCCTGACCATTATGTTTCTATCTGTCCATCTCTTTTGTCTGCAGGTGATGTCATTGTCTACATCAACGATGTGTGCGTCCTGGGCACCACCCATGCTGATGTGGTCAAACTCTTCCAGTCAGTGCCAATTGGCCAAAGCGTCACCCTGGTCTTGTGTCGTGGCTACCCTTTGCCCTATGACCCAGAAGAAGCTGCCAACAGCAACAACAACACCGCCACCACCACTACTATCATCTCCCCACTGGGCATCATGGAGCAGCGGCCCATCATGGTGAACGGCAGGACGGGCTACGACAACTACCTAGACTATCTCTCACGCACGGCGCGCTTTGTCACAGACCCCAGTCAGGACCAGGTCAACAACGCCACGCAGCAGCTGCTCACCCCTCACCCGGGTGACACCCACTTAGACGGCTCTCTTCCTCCCACCACGGGGACCACACCTCCTGACAGTGTCTCCATGGCGTCATCGGGGGCAACCCAGGGGGAACTACTGACCCTGACCATGGTGAAGGGCATAGAAGGTTTTGGTTTCACCATTGCAGACAGTGCTACAGGCCAGCGAGTCAAACAGGTGCTGGAGCCTCAGGGCTGCCCGGGTCTGTGCGAGGGGGACCTGATTGTGGAGATTAACAAGCAGAATGTGCAGGGATTTGCACACACCCAGGTGGTGGAGCTTCTCAAGGAGTGTGCCGTTGGAGCTGAGACCATCCTGGTGGTTCAGAGAGGTGGAACAGGTAAGACCAATGGCTGCCAGCCCCATCACCAGGAGAACATGTTACCATTGTATGTTTCTGCAAACCACGGATATGTTACATTTGTACATTGCATATTGGGCCGCATATCACTGTTTTTAAACTAATGTAGCTTGTGAGCTTTTGTCATTGGGAGGTGAAGGGGATGGTTTATGGCACTGCCAATCTGCGGACCACTGTTCGAGACCAACAAACAGCAATGCTGGTTGTTTGTTGGCAGCCCTTCACCTAATTTTCACAGGTGTTTGTGACACCATCCCGAATGTTTCTGGCGGCATTTGTGGCTCTGACTCTGATCTGGGAGTTTTTAATGACACATTGTGGCACCTTCTAGCAGCATTTGAGCCATCTCACCTGGGTGTTTCTTACCTAAGCTGGGTGTTTTTTACCAACTTATTGTGCCACTTCCTACCGGCATTTGAGCCACCAATACTGGGTGTTTTTCACCAACACTTTGCAGTGTTTCCCAGTGGCATTTGTGACACAGGCCTTGGGCGTTTTTTTACCGACACAATGTTTTTTAAGCCACGGAACCCAGGTGTTTATCACCGACATATTACGGCATTTCCCAGCGCCTTCTTAGCCTAAGAACCTAGGTGTTTTCAACCAACTCATAATGGCATTTCCCAGTGGTGTTCTAGCCTATGAGCCTGGCCAATTGCACGAGACATCGTGGAGTATCCCGGCGGCATTTTCTGGGTGTTTCTTACCAAAGCTGGTTGTTTTTTAGCAACACATCGTGGCACTTCCCAGCGGCGTTTAAGCCATCTTACCCGGGTGTTTTTCATTGACGAATTGCAGCATTTCCTGGCAGCATTTGTGGCACCAAACTTAGGCATTTGTCACTGACACACTGCAGTTTTTCCCAGCGACATTTGAGCCAAAGAACCTGGGTGTTTTTCACTGACTCATAGCTGACTCATAACTCATAATTCTGCTAGTGATGAACTCGCCTATGAACCAAGCAATTTGCACTGAGACATTGTGGCCTTTCTTGGCAGCATTTTCCAGCAGTGTTTGAGCCATTGAACCTTGGTGTCTGAAGCCAGAACATGACCTCCTAATCATAACCAAGTGATTTTTGTGTCTAAACATAACCACACCTTCATCACAGCGTTGTTGAGGGACATAGGGTTTCAACATATCAGTTACAACATAATGTACAAATGTAACATATCGCTGGTTTGCAGAAACATACAATGCAAACATTTTTACTGGCGACTGGCTGCGGATAGGGATGCTGGGAAGATTGTTGGCTCGACACGAGCACTTGAGTCTCTCTGCATCCACTCCATAATTGCCTTTCTAGCTGCATATCTGTCTGCCTGTTCATCTGTGTCATCTTTTACCGTCGTAGCCAAGTGTGTCTGTGTGTTTGGTTCAGTCCGAAGGCTGCAGAAACCTGTCATGCAGTCCTGCAATGCTCAACAATGGCTGACTGATGCACAGCTCCTCTCAAGTGCCCTTTCTATTGCTGTTTTCTTTACTCAGCGAGAAAAACAGTTTCCTTTACTTAAGTAGATGCCTCTGTGCTCTGCGTACTGACCCCATCCCTCAGCGGAGCCAATAAATATCCTTTGATCGAGGTGCAAGCTTTTTGCAGAGCTGCGTTATCCTTAAAGTCACTTTTGGATGTTTTTATCATGCCAGTTTCACATGTGTGGCACATTTTACCTTCTTTTGTGTGCCAGGAATAAAAGCCCCAAAATTAAAGCGTGTCAAAAGTTTTTCAACAAAACGCTGGTAGACTGCAAATGGCTCTGAAGTGCTTTCTACCCTGTGTTTTTCAGAATGTGTGGCCCTCTGACAATCATAATTATGCACTGCACTCTGTCGTGAGTCACACACAGGGTTGTAATTTGCAGAATCAACAGGTAGCCAACTGTTTTCTGCTCTGCGAGTGTGTGTGAGGTATGTCATGCATGGAGCGTGTAGAGATGTCTGTTCCTCAAAGAGGCTAAAACCCCACAGACAGCTTAGTTCTCACGGTGATGCCTTTGACATTGAAAGAAGAAAGATGCGCTGTCAAGTCCTCCCTAAATGTGCGCACAGCCCAAATGACGGAACATAAGTTGTGTGTGAGCTGTGATCTGCCTACAAACTGTGCTTCCCGTCTTATTGAATTGTGGAGGTTGTGCGTCTGCCAGCAATGACTCAGCCAAAGCTGCGACGTCGGAGATTAAAACGTTAGATTTTAATTAAATTTTTGAAACGGCAACAGCGGCTCTTCATCAACCAAGCAGATAGGATCTGTCTCTGAAAGCTTGTTGTTAAATGTTGTTAAATGATTCCCCTCTTTGAGTTTACCTGTCCTTGATTTATCTTGGCATCCTCTAAGTGATGACACGTGAACTTTCGCTGTCATTCGCAGTGCAAGCCGGAAGCCACGCCAACTGGATTGGGAAGCCGATACTGCTCTTGCTTTTGTGTGGAACCAATTTGTAGTTCTGTATTTTGCCTCTTTGTGTTGTGTAATGTCACATACCAATCATAATGCCAACTGCCTGGTGCCACAGACACCGCTGAGACTCACCCACAAAGGTCAGCAGCGCCCTCTGAATAGATTTATTGCCATTTGTTTCTTTATTAGGCTGCCCATGTCTCTGCCAGTGAGCAGGGAGCCAACAAACAAGAGGAGGAGACGCAGAGCGAAGAAATAAGCTTCAAGCAGTGATGACTTTCTAATCCAAAAACGGGAGAAAAATAAATATAGTGAAGCCAGTACCTCTAAAATCTCATCTGCCAACACATAAACACACACATACACACATGGGAGGGGTCAAAAGTTTTGTGCCACTACCTCAAAATTCTCCAATCTGTCAGCACACTCCCCACACACACACACATAAAAAACACTCCCATCTGCGCGGGAAGCTAACGGTGAAGCGCTCCCCTCCATCTGTCCGGGGTTCGTCACTCGCGGCAGAGCTTCAGAAGGTCGAAACAAGCGCTCCCATCTAAAAAGCAGCCTGTTGGCCCGTGGAGAAAATGGCAACCTTATTTACATGCTATATTTCATCTCATTATTCCAAATCTGGATTTGGCTTAGCTCCACTGCACAACAATACGCACGGGCCGCAGTGTCACATCTGTTGGTGCTGATTTCCCGTGACTTGACAAGCTGTGGGTGCGAGAGGTGGAAAAAACTTCGGTGCCACCCGCTCTGCTTCAACAGTATCATGACTGCATGTGGCACACATATGTGTAGAAATCACTACGGCTGAGAAAAGGTGCCAGATATCCCAGCTGGGTGGGGTTGTAGACACTGTAGACGTTTTGAGAGTATTTTGGGAAAACAGTGTCAGACTTTAACCTCATTAAGATCAGAGGCTTCAGACCCTCCAGGGAGAAAATGGTCACAATAAAGTCTTTGTAATTTCTGTCTGTAAACTATTTTCGTGATGATGGAGAAAAACAAGAAGAGTAGCACTGAGCAGAAAACCAAATATCTAGATTTTTTTGATGTGGCAAAGCTAACGATCTGTTATTTTTCTTAAAGTCTTGTGATGTCGGCTTTGTTGGCTTTTACCTCTTTAGTTGTCTCTCCTATGCACACACTCTAAAATGGTAACACAGTGAGGGTTAGGAGGCTGTTTTTATACTAACAGGCTGAAAATCAAGCAGTGGTTCTCAATATAAGGAGTCGAAGAGGAATCCAGAGGGACATTAGATGATTGTGCTCTTAGAAAAATGTTTGTGCTTCAGACTTTTCTCTCATTTTTATGTTTTTGATCCTCTTAAGATTATCTGAGAATAGAATATTAGTCTTCAGTCGAACTGGACAACTTCAAAGATGGGAAGTATTTCAATTAAATGTATTTAATATACATATTTAATTACTTTTGAGTGTTTCGTATTTTTGTTTTTTGATGGACAGAAAAAAATAAGATATAATTGGTAATGTAACACTTTAAGAGCTAGTATTTGTGTATGTAAAATACACGTAGACACAGAGAGCATGGTTCTACTCAAATCGACTTGTTTTTTGTTTGTTCGGTTGGTTGGTTGGTTGGTTGAATGATAGGTTGGGTGGATGGATGGATGGTTGGTTGGTTGGTTGGTTGAATGGTAGGTTGGGTGGATGGATGGTTGGTTGGTTGGTTGGTTGGTTGGTTGAATGATAGGTTGGGTGGATGGATGGATGGTTGGTTGGTTGGTTGGTTGAATGATAGGTTGGGGGGATGGATGGTTTGGTTGGTTGGGTGGTTGGGTGGTTGGTTGGTTTTTTTTCGGTTTTCCATTGGCAAAAGTTGTGGATAGTACTTTTTTGGTACTACCTTGGTCAAGGGTTCAAGCAAGCTGAGCTGATACTAGAAGAAGATTAAAACACTGCAGATCACTGATTGGTCAGAGGGTGGGACATACTGCACAAACCGGCCATTTTTAAATCGGCAAACTCACGTCAATAGTGACCTCCATGTTTTTATTCACTCGACCCAGAGCCTACAAAACTACACAGTACAATTAACTAAGTGCAGACATTATTGCTGACGAAAGGATTCAATGAGTGTCGCATTGAAGATTATGTCACGGCAGTTTCACACTGTTGCTATGGTGATCAGCAGAGAATCCCACCTACACTGAAAGGGCACTATCCTCAGTGGAAAATGAATTAGAGAAAAGGACCTGGTACCAAAAGTGAGTCGGGTCGAGTTGAGTCGAGCTACAGGATGGTACTTCGGTAGCAGCAGTAGTGAGTTACTTTAATCTCCTACTTGTATCCTACTATTTCCTACTATCCTACTATTTCAACACATCACCTTAAAGGAACACTTCACCCCCTAAATGACTTTCTGTATATCAATCATTCTCCCTGTGTTAAGATGAATTCACAAAGAATATTTTTTTCTTAAATTTCCTGGTGAATGAAGAATCCAAAAGTGGAACAGAACAATATCAACACATCTGTTTACGAACTCTCGGGTAACTTGAGCGGTATAATCCAAGTTTCATTTATCCAGCCATATGCTCAGTACTTCCCA